GTACACCTGGCCTAAGTGTAGCAGTGCCTACATTGGTTTGTGGAGTCCATCCTGGGAATTTATAACAGAAGAGGGAATCACCTCAGCCATGGCTTGCTGCACCTCTTCCTCTAGTCCTAGGAGAGCCCTGGCTGAGGGAAAGGTGTAGGGGACACTGTGTGACTGTGGAGGGAGCTGCAGCCCAAGGGCAGGGGGGAGAGAAGCTAGAAGATGCCAGTATCTTTGGGGAGAATGACACCTTTATTAGTTGTAGACTCCAATTGTTTAGAAACACGGCAATAAAACCTTTTATAAACAAAATAATGTTCCTATAGGTTGGCTACAAGAATCGTGCTAGGTCAGACTATTATGGGAGCCTGGACTGATAGGCTACCAAGACTGAGATCTGACAAGGGTTTTGAACCACTTGTCACACATTTCTCAGTGGTTTTTTTTGTGTTTTCCAACCTGTGAACTAGAAGGTTAGTCTAGGAGAATGCTGGGTTCACCAGGAGCTCAGGTGCAGTTGCACATTTCAAGAAAGCTGTATGTTCTGAGTATTTTTTTAGACTGAATTATCTGCGTCGTGTAAAAAAAACCTTATGTAGAAGTTACCAGCTTGAAAGACAGTGTTGTTTAGTGGATTAAGATTAGGGCTAGGAGTTCTGAGATCTGGGCTGTAGTCTTTATTCTTCCATTGATTTGCTCTCTGGCTTCTGGCAAATCATCTAACTGCTCTGTGCCTCAGTTTCCCCATCTCAAAAATTAGGAATAAAATAGTTACTATCTCACAGGATTGTTGCAAGCACTAATTTAGGTAATATTTTAATGTAAAGAATTAAGTGCTATTGTTTATGGTCCTATAATTTGCATACAAAAGAGTATGAAACTGATAGTGGCTTACTACTAAAACTGTTTCAAAAGCCCAAGGCAAAACCTACTACTGATATGATGCCATAACAGCTTGCACACTAAATGGGCTCATGCAGAAGATTTTCAAAAGCTCTGCAAAAAATACAAAGAGGGATGTGGAATGTGACAACATGGAGGTATAAAGGAAGTCAAACTACTCTGTATAATGCCCTTGAAAGCAATTCAGTTATTCCAAAACAGTAGTTTTCAACCTCTCTTCATTTGCAGATCCCTAAACAATTTTGAATGAAGGTGTGGAGCCCTTTGGAAATCTTAGACATAATCTATGGACCCCCAGGGGTGCACGGAACACTTGTTGAAAACCACTGTTCCAAAACAACAACTTACTGCAGAAGTGGCTGCTAAGTTACTGCTGATATAAGTAGTAGTACCATGCCCTCAGCAGAAGTCTGAATCTTTGTACACAATAACATTACTGGTTTTTAGACTCTGATCAAGCAAAACATTTTAGCATACAAATAATCCCATTGAAGTCAATGGGCCTGCTCATGGGCTTCTGAGTTAAGGACATGATTAATTGGTTTGCTGGATTGAGACCTTGGTGATTTCTAAGCATATTAGTGCCATCTGCAAAGTTGAGTTCCATGTCAAATTGAAAAAGGTTTAAAAAAAATAGCTCACTGCATATTTACAAATGCCTTTGCCCCGTTTCATACGCTACCATGTTTACCGCAGGGCTATGGAGCTGTCCTAGAAAGATATCCCTGGTTTATTAGCAGCTCTACTGCCAGTTACTACAGACCACAAATATTCTTTCCTGCCTGGATGGCATGTTATGTGTGTTAACTTAGTTAATTCTTGTAGAAGATTTCTACAGATCCATGCCCTTGTGTACATTTACTGCAAAGCATATGGCCCTTATCAATTGTGATCCTAATCTTCATCAGATTACTTGAATTTTGAAAGGTTTTGTGTTCCATTTCTATGATGGGGAACTTTGTATTGTAACATAAGCATCAAGGTCATGGGTCACAAGAACAGTGTTTTCTTTCCAGTCAGCCTGAAACTGACACATTAGATTTATGTTTTGTTCTATTTGTTTTAAGTTGATTACATTTTTAACTCCATTCAGTGGGCTTGGAAAATTTGACAAAACACTCCTGAGCTTTTAATCAACTTAAACTTACTTAATGGATGAACACTTCAGTTAAAAAAACCCTGAATGTTTATCAAACAGCATGTACACAAAGCACGGCTCTACCAGTGCCTCTTTACGCTGCTTAGTAAGCTGTCTAGGTTCCAGCCTAATTGAACAGTGACTTTGAGAATGGTGGGCTAAAATCTGTGATCCTTTACTGAGAGAAAGTGCTCTGTCAATGGAAGTTTTGTATGATTAAGAATAAAGGATAAATTTTTTCAATCCTTAATTTTACTCCAATGTTTTAGATGAATCTTTCATTATAAAGATCAGAACATAATATTTCACTTTTGAAAAAATATTTTGTAAGGATACAAACCTAGCTGCATAACTATGAAAGAAGTTAAGAGAATACTTATTATTAGACATTATTAATCTAAACGGTGTGCTTTTGGGAGCAGGGACTGTCCTTTAGTATACGAGTACACTGCCCACCACTATGCGGCCTGCATCCTGACAGGAGTCTCTGAGCACGAATGATAAATGAGTACAAGGTGCAGACTGTATAATACCAAGTAGTCAAAATCTTATCTCCTCTTTTTGAAAACAAATGGAATTGCTTTCAATTTCAGATGTACTAAGTAACTTGTCTGAACCCAGGAATGGCCTTCTCACATATTTATGACAGGTTTCAGAGTAACAGCCGTGTTAGTCTGTATTCGCAAAAAGAAAAGGAGTACTTGTGGCACCTTAGAGACTAACCAATTTATTTGAGCATGAGCTTTCGTGAGTTCTTTATGAGTTCTTGGATTCACAATATTTCAGAGGGTGCTGCTACTCGCATTTATCTTCTCGGTTGCATTAGATAACAATTGGTGCTCTGGGTCACATTGCCAACCAAGCTATGATTACAACTAGAGTTTCACTGTGTATTGTGCAAGTATTCAGAATTTTCTGCATATCCACATCTGGTGATGTTGGTTGTTTTTTAAGATTCTTATTATTAACTGATATTGTGGTAGCACACAGGAATCCCAGTCATAGCTCAGGGCCCCACTGTGCTAGGCACTGTATAAACACATCAAAGAGATGGTCCCTCCCCACAGAGTTTACTGTCTCTGTGACAGCTGTCAAATATTGAAGTTGTCCACAAAATTTTCATGGTAACGCTATCAGCTATTTGCTCCAGCCCAAAGCTTTTGTCATTCCTGGATTCATGTAAAGAATGATTACCTCCATATTTTTCTGCCTTTTAATGCGGGAGCTAAATATTCCCTCTTCATATCCATGGGAGTTTTGGCAGAGTTAGAATCAGGGCCAATAAATGTAAAATCATCAGCACCTAATAAGATACATCATAGTCAAACATTTTGAGCCTGATCCTGTAAACCCTATGTGTGCATAAATCCTATTGAAATCAATAGGACTTCAGATAGGACTGACAGGGCACCACTGAAATCTGTTAACATATTTGAGTGTGTTTGTAAGTGGCATAATATAATGTATTTGAATGATGGTGTAAAACTGGGCCATTTGTATCCAATATAGGCCCTCATATTTTTGTTGGGTTCTTGTGTTCTATTAGCTATCCTGCTGAAAAAAGATAACTTCCTGATCTTTGAGTGAGATCTTGGCAAAATAAACCTTTGAATTTTGCTGCTTTGCTCAGGGGCTGGTTACTGTTCAAATACAAGATTTCTCATTACATATGGGAAGGATCTGTTCCCCTAGAGAGAACCCCTGTTCTTACCACAGAATTAATCCACCATTTTGACACAAAATGGGGAGCAGAATTTGGGGAGGTCATGAAAGGGGTGTGCAGAGGCCACTGCCACAGGAACCCCATCTGAGATTTTCCTTTGGGGTAGACAACCAGCTATTACGTTATTTCTGAAGTCCTTTGGCCCTGCTTAGTAGGGTGAATAGCAGATTGACTCTATTCCCACTATGTGGCTTAGTGGGAGGATTCACTAGATTCCCTGGTGTCAAGACAAACTGCTCAGGCAGGGCACTGGGGAAGAGGAACTTGGCCCTAATGTTGTTCTCATTAAACACTCATATAACTTATTTTTGTAGGTTAATTTAAAATTCATGTAAAACATCACAGCCCTGGAAACCAAAGCTCTTGTGGTCCTTGTCTTCACAAGGAAAATCATGCCTGTTTTTCCACCAGCAGTGCAGCTCCAGTAATGATGGGGTGGGGGTGGGGTGGGGTGGGGGGACGACCAATCTTTCTAGTGTAGATGCACTCAACTGTGCATAGAACAGGAATAACCCAGTCAATACATGGGCAAGCTTCTCCCTCAAGCTACACTGCAAAAAGCTCGTTTTCTTATTAATTGAATGAGATTCTCACATGTGTAATGCTTGAATCCCCTTCCTTAAAAATCCATTTGGATACAAGTCATTTTTTAAACAGAGCTCCCTAGTACCTGCTAGCGGAAGTTCTAGTTAATCAATGGCATAATGTGGCCCTGTGGGAGGAGTGAGTATGAATATCTGAAGCGATTGGCAAGCCTTTTCCTCTCCCCAAGGGCACATCACCCTGTAGCATACTCCCTCCAGTTTGGGACCAAATTCTGCTTGTGAATATCTATTAGGCTGCTATTAGGATGTTAGAGATTTCATCTGTGTGCATAGCAGCTGAGGATGTGGCCCAGAATCTGTCTTGTACAGTCAAGCCAGAGAGTGTACATATTAAATATGATTACATTATTTTGTTTGCTTGAATATTCTGTGAGGTATGCTGAAAACAGAGCAAGTGCTGAATTTTTTTTTTGTATGCATTTTAGGGTTTGATTCACTGGTCATTTAAGCTCACTAAAAATCAATGGGACTCTTTTCAATGGAGTTTAGTCCTGGCTTATACCACTGTGACAACTGAATGATACCCTAAAATCTGGAACAATGATGTAAAACTGTGCCCTTGTATCATAATACATCAACAAATTAAGCCTTTACAAACTAAGCCCATTTTATTCAAATAAACTGGTTTTCCATTTCCACAAAATGAAATCTTATCACTTTTATTCAGTATACAAAACACACCCATTTACACTGTCTTGCAAAATACATGCACTAACAAGTAATTTTTAAAAAGCCAAAATATTACCCCAATACGTTTAGTTTAAAATTATAAAATCTACAGTAGTTCTATATATTTTGATATTTTAAATAAAGAAATTAAAACTACGACTATTTTATATACAAACATACATTGTTAGAATAACAGACTCTTAAAATAATATTACATAGATTCAGAGTGCTGACTGCGAGTAAAGTAAAGAAAAAACATAATATCTTCAACATTGAGCCTGACCTTGCTACTCTCACAAGTAGTCCCATTTGGACTCCAACTAAAGATTGGATGATTGACTTCATTGGGAGCATGATGATCAGACTCAAGTCAATGGGCCTACTCATGTGAGAAAGGGTTAGAGAATCAGGCACTCAGTTGATACACTGAGTCAGTAAGATTTTGTCATTGAATTCCAAAGAAGTAGAACTGGGCTCTGAATACCTGTTTAGACTTTTAACAAGGATTCCACTGAAAATGACAAACTCTGATTTTTAATTTTCATTTCTGAATAACACTCTTGGGATATTCTAGCCAAGTGTTTGAGGTTCTCCTTTGCCACAGAACACTTATATTTCACATGTTGGCTCACATGCTGTTTTTCTGGTATGGAAGGATCATTTTGTAAGATAAAACCTTCTGAGCCAATGCCCTGCTTCTCGTTGGTCACAAAATGTTCTTTACCATTTTCAAAACTTGCTTGTGTTTTTATTGCCTTCAATCTCAAATTGCTCTGAAAGGATCCAAGTTCTTTGGATAAAATATTGGCCTGAGCCAGCTCCTTACGCATTTGTGCATATTTCTCTGCATTCTTAGTAAAGGTATATTTCTGTAAAAGGTTACTTTCGATTTGACCCGATGTAAAAGTAGTTACATTTGGCAGGAAAAAATCTCTAGTCTGATAAAGCATAGTGCTTGAATGTATCAAAGGAAACCAAACATTTATCAAATTGTGGTTAAAATATGTTGAGTCACAAAGCTGGCTGTGTCCAATCCTAAATGGGTTTGTTTCTGTGCCTGGTAAAAAGTCTTCATTTGGTCTTTGTAGACTTTGAGCTACAGCTAATTCCTTTAGTTCTCTCTGCCTAAGTTCTCTCTCCAGCATTATGCATTCCAGCTCTTTATCTGCAAATGTTCTTCGTTTTCGCATTCTCTCACTCAGGTTAGAAAAGAGGACTTGGGTTTCCTGTGAAGGAGGTTTATACCCTAGGAGAACAAATGAAAAGCTTCCATTAGTACTCTTATTATCATCATCAATTATTTGTACATTACTGTAGTGTACTATAGGTCCTAGCTAAGATCAGGGCCCCTTTGTGTTAGATGCTGTGCAGACATGTAGTAACAGACATCCCTGGACCCTGCCTGGAAGAGTTTACGGTCTAACTGGACAAGTCAGACAAAGGATGAGAGGGAAAATGCAGAGAAGGAAAGTAACTTGCCCAGGTTCCTAATTCCTAGTCCAGTGCTCTGTCTGGTACACCATGTTGTCCCATAGACTAAGAACTTATCTTAATGGACTAATTATTTTAGTGCCTCCTAGAAATATTTGTTGAAAGGTTTTTATTAATTTAAAAAACAGTCACATAGATTTGACTTCATTCTTACATGGATCGTGTAAGAGATAACTTGTCTAACCCTCTCACTAGTCTGGACTATCAAAGATGAAAATTAGAAAGTAGAAACACATATTTTTGATCATTAGCAGTCATAGAATCATAGAAATTAGGGTTGGAAGAGACCTCAGGAGGTCATCTAGTACAACCCCCTGCTCAAAGCAGGACCAACCCCAACTAAATCATCCCAACCAGGGCTTTGTCAAGCTGGGCCTTAAAAACCTCTAAGGATGGAGATTCCACCACCTCCCGAGGTAACTCATTCTAGTGCTTCACCACAGTCCTAGTGAAATAGTTTTTCCTAATATCCAATGTAGACCTCCCCCACTGCAATTTGAGACCATTGCTTCTTGTTCTGTCATCTGCCACCACTGAGAACAGCCTAGCTCCATCCTCTTTCGAACCCCCCCCTTCAGGTAGTTGAAGGCTGCTATCAAATCCCCCCTCACTCTTCTCTTCTGCAGACTAAATAACCCCAGTTCCCTCAGCCTCTCCTCATAAGTCATGATCCTTGTCCTCTATTTGCAAAACATTTACTAGCAAGGTTAGGATTTTATGTTTAAGTGGAACTACACCTTTGCATTACGATTAAAATTTAAATAACTATTCAGTGCTATAAAATGTACAAGGGGCTTTACAAACATAGGGCCTCAGCATTCTCACTCAGGTCAATGCAGGTAACATAGCTTCTTGCCTGTGGCCCTATTACGTCCATCACTGACAATATCTTAGGAACATAGCAATTATTGTAACGGATCAGACCAGTGCTCTGTATAGTCCAGTATCCTGTCTTTTACATTGCCCAGGACCATCTGCTTCAGAAGACACTTATAGAATAACATACCCAAAAGGGAAAGTTTCTTCCTAAGTCAAAATGAAAAAATAATGAATTTTTCAGTTCAGGGGCTGAATGAATCCCCCAAAGAAATCCAATCCAATTCAAATCAAAACAATTTAATTTTTTTCATTAAATCAAAAACTCAGATTGTTTTGAATTAACGAAAACTTTTCCCCCCAAGTTTTTTCGTTTCAATTCAACTATTTCAGGTGTCTTCCCTTTTTTTCGTGGTGTATTGTTGTTGGGTTTCTTTTTTAAATGCTATTTCAAATCAGAGTTGAAACAAAACATTTCTACTTTTTCAAAATGAAATGTTGACTTGTTCCAAATAAATAAATAAATAAATACAATACAACCAAAACTGTCAATTTGATAGTTTTGGGCCCTGAAAAAACCCACATTTTTCTATGAAAGATTTTTTTGAGAATTTCAGCCAGCTCTATGCCTAATCCCCATTCAATTCACACACTTTAAGACTAAAAGGGACCATTATGATATTCTAATTTGACCTGCATAACACAGGCCATAGAATTTCACCTCATAATTCCTTCATCAAGCCAAGTACAATGTGGTTGAACTAGGGCATATCTTTTTAGATACATTCAGTCTTGATTTAAAGATTTCAAATGACTGAATCCATGACACCCCTTGCTAGTCTGTTCTAATGTTCGATTGCCCATACTGTCAAAATTTTGCACTTTTGTCCTTGTCTACACATATCTGCACCAGTTTAAACTGGACAGGGCACTTGTTTTGGTTTAATAGTAACATGTTTAATTTTAGCTTAAATCTGTTCCTCAACTGAAATATGGGGATGTACTCTACCTTGAGACAGAGAGCATCCTTCTTGGAAATTCCAAAGGCCAACTGTTAGAGAGGCTATTTTGGGATGGCTATAGGGTGACCAGATGACAAGAACAAAATATTGGGACACATGGGGGGGCAGCCACAGGCTCACACCCGCCTGCCCCCTCCCAGGGCCAGCTCTAGGTTTTTTGCCACCCCAAGGTTTAAAAAAAAAAAAAAAAAAAAGCCGGAGTGCTGCCAAAGCAAAATATCGGGACAAATGCCGTCCCGACCATATATCGGTCGGGACGTGGGACAAACAACTATCGGGAAGTCTGGTCACCCTAGATGGACAGTGTCACAAAAGGAGAATGTAGAAGTGTAATGCAACCATTGATGACAATGGGGCTGGTGGGTGTTCAGCACTTGAAAACCTGGCTACTTGTTTAGGTAGCTAAATACAGATTTACTGTAGGAGCCTAACTAGTGTACTATACTCATATGTTCAGTAGGTCATCTGGCTTTCACATTTGCAGGAGTAGTGAAGAAATACAACAGAATTTAATCAACTATCAAACTACAGATTATTTAACTGGGGACACAGCAGCCATGTAATTTTTTAAAATTTTTGTGAGTTGTATCATTAAGGGCCAGATTGCTGAGTATCTATCTTTACACTACAGGCCGCCTCTGTGAAGTAGGGTACTACTCTACATGAGTAAGTATCACAATCTAGTCCTAAATAAGTGTGCTAAAATTAAAATCAACATATCCCTGTCATATTGATTTAGTGTAAATAAAACAGATATAGGAAGGACTTTGTGTTGATGTGCATTTGTTTAAAAAAAAAAAAAAATCCTGATTCAGCAACATGCTTAACTACATGTCTAACTTTAAACACAAGAGCAGTCCTGTGGAATTCAATGGGACTACTCAGATGCTTCAAGTTAGACATAAGTATCTTGCCAAGTTGAGGCCATAGATAGACGGATCCTTACCTGCCAGTATGCTTTTGGCCCAGGTGCTGGTATTCTTGGGATAGTGCTGATAGTTTAATCTGCAACTGGTTGATAGCAGAGAATGTTCATCTTCATCTTTCTTAACCTGTGCCGAGTCATGGAAAGAGAAAATAAGATAAACCATGCAATCCATTTTAGGCCATGTCTATACTTTGGGTGCCACAGCGACATGGCTATGCCATTGTAGCTATACTGCACACCCCCTAATGCAGACTACAGCAATGGAAGGGGTTTTTCCATGGCTGTAGGAACTACACTACCATTAGTGATTGTAGCTAGGTTGAGGGAAACATTCTTCCATCAACCTAGCTGTGCCTACAGCAGAGGCTAGATTGGGCTAGCTACTTCAGTCAGCAGAGTGGATTTTTCACACCCCTGAGCATCATAGCCATATTGAACTAAGTTTTAAGTGTTGATTGAGGGCTTATGTTTTCATTACTAAGATACTACTAAAGTCAGTATAGCAAGAATACTGAAAGTATTTTGAAGGGCGGGGGAAAATATTACTCCAAATGATGAAAAAAAATATTAGGATCCTATTTTGTGAATACTGAGTATGCATTCAACCTTGTTAAATGTAATGCTTGTTAAAGATCGGTTTGGAAACTTAATCTAGCTACCTGAATAAACACTCATTCTGTTGCCAATTTAAGAAAGGGAAATAACTTTTGTCCATTACTCCATCTTCCTTTACCCCACTAAGGAATTACAACAGGATTCTGCAAATAAAAAGCAGACTTGCTACTGCACCATGATTTCATCCAACAGGAGATTGTTCAGAACATCACAATCTACATTTCCTTTTCCTAGAGGATTGCCAGTTCTTTTGGAAAACGCTCGTCAGGCTGGCCTATTGGTACTTCCCTCAGACCTTTAATATTAGGATAATTACAGAGGAACTGAGACTTCAACCCTGAATTGTTTGGGGCTGCAGTCTAATTCTACAGAAATAATGCATTAACAGTACTATTTTTATATACACACAGCAGCATTAAAGGGTCCTGATCCTACAGTTCATACTGAATATCCTGAGACGAGGTGGGTGAGGTAATATCTTTTATTGGACCAACTTCTGTTGATAATAGAGACAAGCTTTTGAGCTTAACCCAGAGCTCCATTTTCTTGAAGCCTAAGTAAAGCAATTTCATAGTAAGAAATACCTACACCAAGATGTTTAAGAACAAAAGTCTAAGGGAAAGATAATGATACTTTGTAAAGTCCTTTGTGATCTACTGATGAAAAGTGCTATGTAAGAACTAAGTATTTCATAATACATTTAGGTTCTGACATCCATATTTGGGCATCTAAGTACCTGGATCCGTTATCAAGAGTGCTGAACACCCACTGAAGTCAGTGGAGTTGGTGGGTGTTTGGCACTTGAAAACCTGGCTACTTGTTCAGGTAGCTAAATACGGATTTATGGTAGGAGCTGGAGTAGTGTATTATATGTTGAGCATTTATCCAGTTTTCAAATTTGCAGGAACATTTAACAAATCCAATAAAATGTTAATTAACCTCTATCATCCTAAAATGTAGTAAAGCTTCAGCCAGGGCCCCCAGGGCAAAGGCTGTACAAAACCGAACCAAGCAGGAGCCAGGGGTACAGCTATTGCTAATGCAATGCTAACTCTTACCCAGTGCCTTTCATCCAGCGAACTCAAACCCCTTTACACAGGAGGGCAGCACCATTATCTATCCCCATTTTACAGAGAGGGAAACTGAGGCACACCGGGCCCCTGGCTAAGCCAGGAACAGAACCCAGCTCGCCTGAGTCCTTTAACAGAACAACTCTCAATACCACATTTACCTCACCAGGTGGGAGACTTACCACCCCCGCCCCGCCCCGCCCCGCCCCTGCAGCCCTGCCTCGGCGGCGCGCGGGGCCGCCCCGGGCTCACCTGGCCGGCGCGCTGCTGCCGCCGCAGAGCCACCTGCGCGGCCGTCACGCGCTGCCGCTCCAGCACCAGGCGGCAGGCGGCGCAGGCGCAGTCCCGCCACCGGCACAGCCGCTTGTGGCCCTTCAGGCCGGACACCACGCCGTGGTTCCTGCAGCGCGCGCACTTGGGCACCCGGCACGAGCGCCGGCCCGCGGCCGCGAGCGGGGGCGGCTGGGCCGGGGAGCCGCTGCGCCGCCCTCTCTCCAGCTCCCCGGGCGGCATCCGGCTCGCCGCGGCAGCCCCAGCCGGCGGAGCGCAGGGGCGGCGAGTCCCCTGCCCGGGCTGGCCCAGGCGCTAACTTCAGCGGGATGGGGCGTCCCCGCTCCTGCAGCGGCTGCTCCCCGCTACAGCCGGGCCGGCATTGGCACCGCCTGCTCCTTGCGCTTCCCGCGGCTCCGGCCATGCCCCCAGCTCAGCCCAGCCTTTAATGACGGGCCGGGCGGGCCCGCGCTAGACCTTGACGTCAGCGGCCTCCCCCTCCGAGGCAAGGGGGGCGGGCAGCACCGGCGGAGCAGGCGGCAGTGCCTCCCTCGGGGCAGGGAGCCCTCAGCCCGGCCCCTTGGCAGGCACCTGCAGCCCCCCCTCTGCTGCCTTAGCCGCGCCAGGTAGCTGGTCGCATGTATTGCACCAACTTCTGTGGGTGAGCAAGACCAGCTTTGCAGCTGCCCAGAGCTCTGCTTCAGGTCTGGGAAACTACCTCAGAGGGTCACTGCGCAATACAAGATTTGAGCAAATTGTTTCGCAAAAGTAGGGCCCATTGGTTCTAGTCATAGGGGGGGGAGGAAGAGAGGGGAGGGGAAAAGGTAACTGGGGGTGGGGGTTGTTAGTGGGTTTATAGATCGTTGCAATAAGAGGTAAGTCCAGTGTTTCTATTCAGTCCATGGTTTGTAGTGTCTAGCACAGTTTCTTTAAACTCCCAGGCTCGTCTCTTGAAAGTGTTGTGCAGGTTGTCTTTGAAGGTGAGGACTGATTGGTCTGATACAGAGTGATGGCTGTGTGAAAAGTTTCAGAGTAACAGCCGTGTTAGTCTGTATTCGCAAAAAGAAAAGGAGGACTTGTGGCACCTTAGAGACTAACCAATTTATTTGAGCATAAGCTTTCGTGAGCTACAGCTCACTTCATCAGATGCATACCGTGGAAACTGCAGCAGACTTTATATATACACAGAGGAGAGTGAGTTTGTGTGTGTATGGGGGTGGGGGGGATGTGAGAAAACCTGGATTTATGCAGGAAACAGCCCGACTTGATTATGTAAAGAGTTGTCACTTTGGATGGGCTAGCACCAGCAGGAGAGTGAATTTGTGTGGGGGGGTGGAGGGTGAGAAAACCTGGATTTGTGCTGGAAATGGCCCACCTGATGATCACTTTAGATAAGCTATTACCAGCAGGACAGTGGGGTGGGAGGAGGTATTGTTTCATATTCTCTGTGTATATATAAAGTCTGCTGCAGTTTCCACGGTATGCATCTGATGAAGTGAGCTGTAGCTCACGAAAGCTTATGCTCAAATAAATTGGTTAGTCTCTAAGGTGCCACAAGTACTCCTTTTCTTTGTGTGAAAAGTGTTCTCCCACAGGTGATGTGGTGTTTTTATCACATTTCCCTTCTTTGTCAACTCCCCAGAGTGCATTGACAGCTCCAAGATTCAGCTCTTTCCTGCTTGGAAAGAGGAAGGGCTCAGTTCATAACTGTCTTCCAAAACCTAGGAATCCCCTCCTGTTGGAACACAGGCTCCCTGCCCTCTGTAGGTGCCACAGCACACTTGATTTTTATTACCACCTGCCTGCTGTTACAGTATAAATCAGCAGTATTAGGATTGAGTAAAAAAGGCTGATTTGTTCCTTCTTTCCAAGAATATGAGCAACTATTTTTATAGTTTTTTAGAAAAAGGCATTGGAGTGTAATAGTAAACTCCCTGATGAGAACCTAGAAGTTCAGAACAGTTAGTTAAAATCCAAATAAAGTTAGAAACCTGGGCAAAGCAGGAGCATTCTAAGCAACTCCCCCCCCTTCTCCAACAAATGTCTCCTTCAGCTGGCCACCTAACAGAACAAATCTGTCTAGATGAAAGGCTGGCTTGTGGTCAGCCTAGCTGAGAGTCTGAAATGTAGTACATTCAGCGGTGTTTTGAGATTGATCAAGCTGTGCATCTATGTTTGCATTGTTGAAGAAGAGATCTGTGTAGATCCAAAGCTTGTCTCTTTCACCAACAGAAATTGGTTCTATAAAGGATATTGCCTCTCCCACCTTGTCATCTGAGACTTAGATCTTTTTAATTCCGCAGTCATCTTTCAGCTGGCCAGATCCAGCTGCACACACATCTTTACACGTTACATTTTGCTGGGTGTGAGAGAGGTGTGGTGTGAGCACAGAAGTGGGAGCCAGTTGTCCAGTTTTTAACTCCAGGCGTGACAGTGTCTCCATGTGTGATGTGCAAATCATTTAATCCCCATGCTTCCATTTTTCTATGGGCCAATGGAGATTATACATTTAACATGGGGGGCTGTGAGAATTAATAGCCCGTGTTTTAAAAAGTAACTAGTAATTTTCAGTGCCACAATTTTTTAGGTTTCAGAGTGGTAGCCGTGTTAGTCTGTATCAGCAAAAAGAACGAGGAGTACTTGTGGCACTTTAGAGACTAACAAATTTGTTTGAGCATATCTGTTAGTCTCTAAGGTGCCACAAGTACTCCCCGTTCTTTTTATAATTTTTTAGGTTTCCAATTTGAAACACCGTTTGAAGGGGGTCTGATTTTCAGAACGTGGATGCTTAGCAATTTCTGTTTATGGTACTACAATGTCACATACCCTGCACGAGAAAGATCTGCTAAAATTTCAAGATGGACTTTCAGGGCTGTCTAAATTACACTAGAGACTGCAGGCCAGCTCAGGATTGGAAATGCACAAAGCTGCTTTAAAGCTACCAGAGCCCCCCACCTCCACTCCCTGGGTTATGAGCTCTGAGGTGCCCCTCTTAAAGGATGGAGAGGAGTTATTTGATGTAATGCACTGGTGTAACTAGGAGCAGTGGGATAGAATTAAGAAAAGAAAAAAAAAAGAGCTTGACTATATCAGAAAAAGGCTCCTGACTATGAGTTTGTGATGGGGAATATCGTCTCCTGAGTTCCAACAGATATGCTGGAAGTCCCAACACATGGGATTTTTAAAACTATACTGAACAAAACACTGAACAATATACAGGAAACAAACCTGCATTGGTAAGCAGATGGATTGGATGACTAGTAGGGTAAATAGGTCTTTTCCATCTCTAACTTTTATGAAAGTATGCTGCACTATGACTTGTGACAGGTTTCAGAGTAACACCCGTGTTAGTCTGTATTCGCAAAAAGAAAAGGAGTACTTGTGGCACCTTAGAGACTAACCAATTTATTTGAGCATAAGCTTTCGTGAGCCACAGCTCACTTCACGATATTCCGATGAAGTGACCTGTGGCTCACGAAAGCTTATGCTCAAATAAATTGGTTAGTCTCTAAGGTGCCACAAGTACTCCTTTTCTTTTTATGACTTGTGACTTTCCCCAAAGTTAAACAAAATGTCCCTTGTTGCTCATTTTCTTACACAGTATGCTGTCATATACTAACATATCTGCTGTCAAGACCCATCTGTGCCATATTTTGCAATTTACTTTATGTACATATATGATTTTCCCCCTCCCACATCCCTACTTATAATATCCCTTTTGGACAGGCACAGTCATTTGTTTTCTTATAGCCCTTGGCACTAAGGCTGTGCTCGCCTGGAGAGAGCCAGACTGGAAGTTAAGACTAAGAACAGGAAGGATTTTTTACTCTGAAGGAGTAGTGTAGTAGGGTAATAATACTGTCATTAAATCAAAATGGCACCAGTGATAAAGAATCTAAGTCAGAAAGTTTAAGGAAGTTGAAATTATTCTCACTGGAAAACGACTCCAAGATGTCCTAAGAAGCAAATTCTGCTCTCAGTCTACCCAATTATAACCAGAATAACTCCAGAATTTGGAGACTATCCAAGCATATTTAGTTACACTGGGGTAACTAAGATAAGAAGGTGGCATGATTCCCCCATTTAAATTTTCAAAACAAGAACCTTTGTGCTTTCTGCCATGCTGCACTTCACACCCCATAAATATTTAAAACCCTGCTTCACTACTCTGGTACCCAAGCGAGCTAGATTAAAAATAGCTTGGGTATGTCTACTAAACTGCAGTCACACCCTGTGTTTGCAGTGTGTAGACATACCCATAGTCCCACTGAAACCAGTATAGTTGCTTGTGTGAGTCATGTGCTCAGCCAGGTGAGGGAGAGTTCCACCGTGTGGCCTTATGTGATGAAATCATTGCTCTAATGAAGGACTATGAGATGTTTAGTGATGCTCTGATTTTAAGAATAGATTCCACAAGACCTTCCCTTAAGTTTGGATCCCTCTCAAAACATTTTGGCAGACACAACACTGGCATAGCTCTGTGACTAATGCTAACATTGCAGTAGTTAAAATACTTTCTGAAAAATAGGAAAACCAGAGAGATTTGCCTATGAAGAATGATTTAATTAAAGTTTTCGGTGTTCCAAAGTAGGTATTTTTCAGTCATTATAAATGGTTCAGTCATTTAAATTATTTTTTTAAAGGGGAGGTAGAAATTTTTCCAGCAAACCGTTGACTTCATTGGTCGGCAATTAAATAGTTCTTCAGTTAGCTGGATTACTGTTCAAAATTAACTACTCATTAACGTGGAAAAAACAGGTATATTCTTCCTGGGCTTTCTATAGTCTGCATCTAATTCCAAGAAGAGGAAGAAACCTACATTCTGAGTCTATTTTTTCTTTAAATTGGAAAGAGTTAATGTTCCCCCATTCTAGGCACTGTCATATGAAAGCATGCCTTAGTCCAGAAGCAAAACTGACACTGCAGAATGTTAACATCTTGCAGTCTACTCTTAATACGTGGCACTTAAACAGTGATAAATGATTTTTACATATGTTTGCTGAATGCAAATACTATTCCCCTTTTTGGAAACCGTTAGGTTGTTTTTCTTACCCCAAAGCTCCTACAGAAAATGCAGAAGCAAATTTACGATATTCTGAGCTTTTGGACAATGTCACAGACACCTTTGTACAAAACTTGGAGCCCAGTCTTGCATAGCTTAAACTCATATCAATTGCCTTTATGCTCTTACAAGTTGTTCCAGAGAAAGCAATGGGACTACTTGTGTGAGTAAGGTTTGAAGCATCAAGGCTGTAATTTTAACTTATCTCCCACAGTATGTAAACAATCATTAGCATTTCATTCATTACAGAATGACAGTGGTTTGTAGCAGAGAATGAAACGTCAAATATTAAGAGCCACATCTTCAAAAGTGCAGGTACAGAAATGTACACACAATGGAAGATTTGATCCTAAAAATGCATAGAAACATAATGATCCTGAAAGTGTGTTTCGTGCCTGCAATTCCCACTGCGGTCCATGGTAGCTTTGCTTGCGGAAGGATTGCAGGTGCTGTGCCATAGATTAAAAAAATTTAAGTTCTGTTAACTTGACCAGCATTTGTGCAGTTTCAGCTCCAACATAAACCAATAAAAATCATAGAATTATTTGGATTGGAAGGGCCTTCTAGTGATTTGTCTTGTCCAAACCATTCCATCCTGCTGAAACTGGTTTCATTATTCCTAGCAGTGGATTAATTTAAAAAAAAAATCAGAAGAAAACTTGTTTATATTAAATTTGGAATTGCAGTGATTTGGCGAGGAACCTTTTAAACCTACTGTGTTAAAATACCAATTACAATGAGCTTTTCTTTCTTTGGTTAAAAGAGGGTCAGGTGAGGGTAAAATGGAAGGCAGAACCAATGCCATGACATCTCCAGATAATCCCCATTGTCAGCTGAAGAGTCATTCACTGTGGATCTCTTACCAATTTACCCTGATTTTTAGTATAATAGTGAGCACAAAGGAAATGCTGAATAAATTTCCTGAAAGTGTGGAAAAACTAAATGTGTTTTCTCAGATAACACAAAAGCAATTGGTGGGATTGTGTACAAATGTTTCCTAAATAAAATATGTATGTTAAGTAGTTCTCCTTTGGGATGAGACTAAGCATGAGAAATGTCAGCATCAGGAGGTAAGCTTTCCAAAAATTAAGTGGTTTAGAACGAAAGAGTCTTGTCAACAAATAACCTCACTGTGAATGAATGGAAGGGAATAAAAATAAAGGTAAATAGGAGCATAGTACCACTCGCACAGATACACCTGGGTAAACTCCCATGGACTCAATAGAAGCAGGTTCAAGCCCCATGTGGCAAGATTGCTAACATATCCAGAATGTGTATTGGGTCATATTTTATGTGCAGGTATATGGGTGCAATCTCCATTGATTTCAGTGGAAATAGCACCCTACTAAGTGCCAGGAGAATTTGGCCCATTTTATTTAAAAAAATTTTATTTACCATACACTTAACTGTCTCTCCAACTGAAGCTGTCTCTATTGACTTTCTTCTCCAGCCTCCTGTCTGGTGATGAGATCACTATGAGTCTGGTGGGAGCCATTCTGAGCAGTCCAACCTGCATGGCTGTGACCTGGAATGAGCTACAGCAGATACTGGGAAAAATTAATGGAAATTCTTCTCTCCTTGGACTACTTGGAGGAAGCTCTAATCAAAAGCTTCCCAAATCATGGTCAGCAGGACACTTGCTGTTGGTCTACAGAAAGCTGGCTGGTCACATAAATGGCTTAGTTCCTTTTTAGATTTTTTTCTAATGGAAATTTAGCTAAGGGCCTGATTCAAAGTCTACTGAAGTCAAATGAATGATTCAAGCTGACTTCATTGTGATTTAGATCAGGGCTAAGTGTTTTTTTTTCAGGCTTGGAGTTCAAAAGCCAGGATGGTGCTACATTTCTGAAAGACAAGAGTTTGCTCATATTAATGCCTCATTATACCTGTTCCATAGTACCACAGGGGGTGGGGGCGGGGAAATCATTCTGTGTGATTTCCCCCACCCAAATGAAGCAAAGAAGAGTAGGCAGCCATGACAAAAGTTTCTCCTTGACAAGCGTACCAGAGCGAGTGTTGTAAATCTCCAGTGACAGTGCTTTGCAGTCATTGAATGAAATGTGCTGCAGTCTACCTTGCTTCTGTGTTTTAAAGAGTGAAATACAACATGGAGGGTGGATTATGAAAAATATTTGTAACAATGCTTAAAACTGTATTCTGCACTGTTTGTATGTTGTCACTCCTTAATATAGCCTTTAATCTTAATGTAAAAACTATAGATGACCTTGTTTTATGGGTGTTATTGGCAATTCTAATCAGATGGCCTGATTTTCAAAAGAACTCAGCTCTCATGTAGATTCTTAAAAGAAATGTCCAGATTTTCAGAAGTCCTCAGCATGCAGCAGTTCCAGTTGTTGTGCTGGGTACTCAGATCTTTTGAAAATCTGGCCAATATTGTGCAGTACAGCAAGTTATTCACTATAGGAAAACAAGTTTTTACCTTTTCCTCTTGGCAATTCAAAATAATGCTGTCTCCATTTGTAGCTCCCCAAACACCTTCCACGAGTGCTATAAACCATTTGAACTGTTATTTTACTACATTTTTAAAAAGTAAAGTGATTTTGCAGTTGAATTTAGTTCCTTTAAAGCTCTCATTTAGCAAAAGATTGTTAGCACATATACCAAACAGAAGAAATGGAAGACTGTTTATCTTGCCTTCTTATTTTTCACTTCTATAATAGCATTCAAAGACTGCAGAAGCAACATTTCCAAGACTAAATAGCATTGTAGGCTGGTTTGTTATATAGAATTGTTCTTTGGAACGTTTAAAAGTTGCCTAGAGTAATTATTTATAAATGTACAAGGTTCAAAACTTAAGTACAGAACAAAACATTTTAATGTATCATGTTTAATTATGCAAAATCAATTCAAACACTAACAACTGATCTACTCACTACAAAACACATTTTCTTGAGAAAGTACAGAAAGAGGAATGCTCCATTCACTATTATTCAAACATTATTGTCCATCGATGATGATACGTTCTGGTTTAGCTGATTTATTATTGAAACTGGTGTTTTGCCCTAGTTACTTTATAACCAGTTGGCTAGCTGATCTCTCCACATTTGATGTAGTTCACCATGCAATTCCAATCCATTTATATTGGGCAACCCATACACCCCCTTAAATCAAATCTGGTGGCCAGCTTCCACTGTGTGGGCTCCCAGCATAGTGTGTTTCCCTGGAACTGATGTACAGGGTGTCTCGGGCACACAAAATCCTGGAGGTTGAGCGACCAGACTTTACTATGTGCCATCATGCTCACAATTTAAAGTGAATGTGCCCTGTAAAGGCAGCAGGGCCTCGAGTTCATCTGGAAGGTGATGAGGGGGCCCTGGATATCAGTATAGAAGATCAGACCCTCCCCAAAACTATTTCCACTGCCTCACTGACAAGTCCCCCTAACCTATTACGCTTCCAAAGCCCACCTGAACTCCAGTGTATCAAGCCCTGACTCTGCTACATGTATCACCTGCCAAAACCTTCCTCTCCCCATCACCCAATTTTCAGGCACTAAATCTCATCACTTAACTGTTCCACAATATTCAGAACCAGCTTTTCGTGGTAGCAAACAGACCTACAAACAATGCCCCTTTGAACAATGCCTTAAACATAAAAGGGCTAGATTGAGCCTTTATGCTCAGCCCCCAACCATGGGGTGTCACTAAGGGCTAGTCTCCTGCACTGCGTCTGGTGAAGGTGCTCTGTGCTGACGGGAGAGAGCTCTGCCATTAGCATAATAAAACCACCTCCGCGAGCAGCAGTAGTGATGTCGGCAGGAGAAGTTCTCCTGCGACACAGCCCTGTCTACGCTGGCACTTACATCGGTATAATGTACAGTTGCTCAGGGGAATGGCTTATTCACACCCCTGAGCAACATAAGTTTATACCAACATAACCTGTAGTGTAGACAAGCCCCAAGAGAAGCCTCAGGGAAGGAACTGTACCTTGAAGTCACAATTCCTCCCCTCATCTCCACTTGCTCCAGAAGGGAGTAATTCACTGTAACCCTGGGAAAGCTTTGCCAGTTGGTAAGGTAGGAGCCAGTGGAGCAATGGCAGCCCTGGGGCTGTACGCAGCAAGGGAGCCAGAACTGTGTTTATAGTAGCCCTAATGCAACTGTGAAGTGATGTAGGGGACTTCCCTCTTCTGCCCTGTGTGGTTGCATTAGGGCTAGTGTCAATCTAGCCCAAGATTAACTAATGATATTCTCTCTGAGAGAGAGTGCTGCATGCTCCGCAGCTGTTCCCTAGTACACGTACATACATTTAGTGTTTAGAATACGTGGCATGGTCTCCATTGGTTTCTTCCTGAGGAGATGGCTGGCTGCATTCACAGATCACCCCAGAATCCTGGCTATCAGTGGTGCCAGCTAAAACAAAAGCAGAATATAACACTGTAGTGCTTTTTAAAATTGCACTTAAATTGACATTACATCCAATAGAACTCAAAATTTTTAGCTGTGAATGCTCAATATAAAATAACTTTAGTTAATCCAAACCAGTTTTTCCCTCAACCAAGTCAAAGGCACTTGAGATCATGAGGACTATGACTGTCTAGGTCATGGTTCATATTTCAAACACCAGCTGATTTTGCTGCAGCCAGGTCTAAAGAAGTGCAGCGAGACTGTTTTAAAATGGCAAAGGGCATGAATTTCCCTCTTGGCAAGTATTTTAGGAATTTAAGCGCATATGAAAACAGGATTGTAATGCGAGCTGTTTTACAGCCTTGATGACAGTGAGCCTTATCGCATGCCTACTATATACACTTTTTCAATTCTGAAGGTGCAAAAGCCTTGACTGAATAAACAGAACATAAAACAGAAGGAAATAAGTAGGAGACCTCAGTCCTTAATTCATAATGTTGACTTGCTAGTTTGTATTTAAAGCTCTCTCCTTTTCCCACATAAGACAATTCTTTCTTCGGCTGTGGCTTCACTAGAGAGCTTATAGCAGCGCAGTTGTAAACTCTCTAGTGTAGCTGCTCTAAGAAGAAGGGAGAGAGCACTTCCATCAACTTAATTAATCCATCCCCAATAAGTGGCTCTTCTGCCAACACAGCACTGTTCTTTAAAGAAAAAAAAACCTGTTAACGGCTTCTGCCCTCAGATACTACTCAGCACGAGCATTGGTGGGCAAATTGGGAAAGTTAGCAAGAGTTACAGCGTAGTATCTCTTATGTCAAAAGAATTACTGTGATATTAAATTTTATAATAACATAGTATATATTACAAGTCACCATTATAAAACCTGACTTAGGAATGAATACAGACTGTGGTCATTTAGCTGGAAGGCCTATGATTCAAGACTTTCCAGCAGCTGTTGTTAGCCGAGGAGAAGCCTTTTCTGCTATGATGTTTGTAGCTCCCTTTGTCTTGGAATTTCCATCAGGCCAGAGGCTCAGTGGCATATTTTTTTCCTGCCGTACTTTTCTGTATCAATTTTCTCCTAATTACTTTGCCAAAGACTACAGGAGGAGCCCCTGTCACCTTGATTGCCCCAGTTTGACCTGAGTCTAGCAGATCCCTTTGGACAAATGATCTAACAAAGTAAGTTTGAACTTGACAAGATCCCTATGGGTCTGTCTGCTCTGATTTTCAGAGGGTTTTGCACTTTGTTTCTTCACTATTTATTAGTCTTTCACCGGATTTGAAACCAGAACAAAATGCATCTTGAAAAATGGGATCAAACACTGTTTAGTTTCACTGTAGCCCCTTTTCACTGTAGCCTCTCTCATTCTGTATCTTCTGCTGAAATGCTATTTTGTAACCTACAGAAATAATCCCTCACTGATTCACCGTTGATAGTCCTACTCCCCCTGAAGCTGAAGTACAATATGGCTGAGTCAATTTTCCCTATATCCCTCACCCTGAAAGAAAAAGCCACAAAAAAGTGCTAAATGAGGACACTGGCCCTTTAAGATCAATACCAGGAAGTCCTGTACTTAGAATCAAATTCTACTGTCAGGTACATGTTGGGGTGTCCCACTGATTTCAATGTGAGCTCCAGGCAGGTACCTGAGTGCAGAATTTCTGACTATTCAGGCTGGCTTCTAACTGGAACTCTAGGAAAGTTTGATTCAAGAGCTGACCTTTATGGCTTAGGCTATCCCTGAAACTGGCCTGAGCCGGAATTTCTAATCCAACAAATACCCCCAAACCCAGGAAAAGTTTGAAACCAAACCTCGCTCTCTGGGTCCATCTCTGTCTCTAATGATTGATTCAAATGAAATAATGTTGACGATTACAGTAAAAATCCTCACAAACTCTCAACTGTCCCACCTGCTATGACTAGCCACAATCACTATTATTTGATGCAATGAAGATGATGTACTCTTCTGTTTACTCCTCACCTCTACTCAAGAGATACTGGACTTTTCCCAATAGGTGTAAGAAAGGGATATTATTTGTAAATCATCTGTCACAAGATCACGGCATTTAATCAGATTCTCATTTTTCTCTAATAAGCCAAGCATTGAAATATAGAAGTGCACATACAAATATTTTGAACTAGAGCTTGACATAACCCAAGTGCTTCATTCTATTGATACTGGTGATTTATTCTTTGAGCAGTTCTTCCCTCTTGTGGCCACAAATGGCTGTATTTGGATAGAAACCTTGTCCGAAATTTAAAAAAATCATTACAGACATACCTGCCATGCCCCAAATGTGGGACGCAACATGTGACAAAGACCCAAACTGAGGAATATAAAAAATTATTCAAGCAGAAAATGTAAATTGCTGTGGGATATAGCCCTTTGGTGTGCACAACTTTCTGTGATCTCAGTTTCTGAAGAAATTATTGTTACTGATGTACATCATTTTCAAGTACAACAGTGAGAGGCCACTGTATTTGTGTGGAATGTATGCCACTTTGGGATGAAAATTAGAGCCATTGGAGAGGTTTTATTACAGATAATAAAGGTCAAATTCTGCTGTCCTTCCAGGCACAAAATTCCTGTTGATTTTAGTGGGCCATGATATAGTCAGTAAGGGAGATACAAATGCACAGAATTTACCAACCAAAAATGAAAACAATATAGTTGAGAGCTTTTGTTGTATTTTACATACCAATGAGCAGGACACATCAGACATTTTACCATATAAAACAGCTCCCTGAGATCTGATATGCTTCATGCATAATATCGCTCACCTTGCACTTACTTACCAGATGGTTCCTTGGGTGTTTCAGCCAGAAGTGGAAGGGGTGGTGGAATGTAGTGAATCCCTGGCAGAAAGCCCGGAGGTATAAACTGAGGAAGGGTAGGGTAGTAACCTTGTTGGAAATCTCCACCTGTATCTTGCATCTGCACGAACACATAAAACAAAGCTCCTTCAGTCCAGATATTGCCTTAACCACCCTATCAAACCACCACCCTCACTTCCAGACCACATGCAGTGAAATCAGTGGCATTACATATGATATGTTAAAATGAAAGGCCATAATTTACTTCACTGGTCAGTATTTTTCTGTTTGTTTTTTCTATTGTTAAAACCCTGCTACAGGGGAAATCACAGAATTCTTATTCAGGCAAAACTTCATTGAAGGCAGCCTACCTGTCGAATATAAGTTTTACACCAGCAATGGAATATGAGTGTCTGAGTAAAGACTTAATGATTTGTCCCAAATACACCTGCAGCATAGAACACAACAAATGCAGGAAATGCTTGTTATTAATGAGACACTGAATTAAAATCCATATTTCCAGGTACTACCCTGGCTCCATAACTAAAAAACAGCAGCTGCTGGTGACTTATTTCCTGGTTTGTATTAGGGATCCTTAATGCCAAATGAGTCGTATGAAAATGTATGAAAAGTCAGTCATTACTGTGCACATGCAGGAGCCACTTTTAATCCGCAGTTCAGTTGTTTCCTGTTTTGTTTTTTGTTTTGATGTCCTCATAAAAGTGAGCATCTGTTAGCAATGGCTGGAGACTGGTACAGTAACACATGGAAGTAGGTACTTATATGCATGCATAATTGGATTCAAGAAAGACAAAGTGGGTCCAGTATCTTGTACTGGACCAACATCTGTTGATGGAAGAGACAGGCCTGCTCTACACTAGAAAAGTAGGTCAATTTCACTATGTCGGTCAGGGGATGTGAAAAATCCACACCCCTGAGCAGTGTCATTAAGCCAACCTGCATCCATGGGTAGACAGCATAAGGTGAATGAAAAATTCTTCTCTCAACCTAGCTACCACCTGTCAGAGAGATGGATTACCTACACTGAAGGGAAAACCCCGCCCTTTGACATAGACACTGATTCTCAAGCAGCAGTTTTCAGGGGTGCAGCCAAGGACTGGGCTTCACCTGCCAGGGCTTGGACTTGGGGAGGGAGTGCCACCGCCACCCCTTGACTCATCTCAGAGAGCACCCAGCCTGTCTGGGTTGGGGGTGGGGCGCAAATCAAAAATTGCAGTGTCATGCTGAAGAGAGATCTCCCCCTGCCATCAGATGGGTCTGCCTAACAGCCAGTGACTCCATGAACAGGCAGCAGCTAGCCAAGGAGACATACCACTTCTCTGCTCTGTTACATCAGCACTTCAGGGAGCAGGGCCAAATGGAAGGCAGAAATTTGGGAGCACGCCTCTACACGTTCCCTCTGGTTGATGGTCCGCAGGTTTGTCTATAAAAGCTTAAAAGTTTCTGGGTAAAAAAAGGTTGTGAACCCCTGGCGTAGGCAGCGTCTACACTGAAGCGCTACAGCAGCACAGCTGTGCCATTGTAGCCTTTTAAGTGTAGATAAGCCCAGAGACAAGCCTTTGAGCTACAGCAGGCTCTTCAGGGCTGGGAAAGGTAATCAGAGCGTCAAAGCTAAATACAAGGCGGAGCAGATTGTTAAGCGAGGGGTTAACACATGTTGCAAGGGACCATTCAAAATGGAGTAGGCTATTAACACCTCTGCAGTAATATGACACAGATGGGTTAGTAGGTTACAGATGGTTATAATGAGACATAAAACCAGTATTTCTATGGAGTCCAAGATTCTTAGGCCTTGACTACAGTACCACTTATGTTGGCAAAATTTGTGTCGCTTGGGGATGTGACTGTTCCATCCCCCTGAGCGACATAATTATGCCAGCATATGTGGTAGTGTGCTTCACGCTGTGTCGGCGGGCGCTCTATTCCTACTCACATAGCTACCGTCGCTCATTGCGGGTGGTTTAATTATGCCGATGGGAGAGCTCTCTCCTGTCGGCATAGAGCGGCTACAAGAGATCTTACAGTGGCACAGCTGCATTGGTATGGTTGTGCTGCTGTAAGCTCTGTAGTGTAGACATAGCTTAAGGGTCTAGCAAAGTTCTGAATTTAAGCTCCCAGGCTCATCTTTTGAAGGTACTGTGCAGGTTTCCTTTGAGGACAAGGGCTGAAGGTATGTCTATGTTGCAATTAAACACTGGTGGCTGGCCCACGTCAGCTGACTCAGGTTCATGGGGTCGGGCTCAGGCTATGGGGCTGTTTAATTGCTGTGTAGACATTCAGGTTGCAGCCTGGGTTCTGGGCCTCCCGAGATTCCCTTCCCCGCTGACCCATTCCTCACCAGCTTCCCCCTCCAGCTGACCTCTGAGTAGGCTGTTCAAAAATGTTCTGTTGAAACTGTTTTTTGATGGAAAATTAATTTTCAGTAGAACACATTGTTTCAGGTAAAGTGTCTCCTTTCTGCAAAAAAATTCAATTTTTGTTGAGAAACCAATGCTCCAAACCAAATGCCCCAAACCAGAAATATTTTAATTACATATGCTGCTATAGCGCCTCATAAGCAAATGTACTGCAATTCCCATGTCCCCTTTCTCCTCTCAGGGCAGTGCTCCTTGGGACTACACCTCCCATGATGCACCAAGGTAGTGCATCCCCCTACAGGGGAGACCAGGGTCATTGTGAGAGATGTTGTTCAACCAGGGAGCCCAGCCTATAGATGAGAATGGGAATATGGAGCACCTGAAATACAAATCCCATGAGACACCACAACAGCATTTCTGAATCAAAATATTTCAGTTTTTATTGAAATTTGTTTTTGAATTTTTGCCAAAAAATCAAAGTTGTCTGTTATGAAATTAGACAAAAGCTAATTTCTTTCCATTTTTGTTGAAATTTTCTGCTGATTTTTTTTTTTAACCTGGCCTCTACTCCCACCTTCCAGAGCAGCAGAGGGAAGAGCAGAAGGCTCACTATTTAGCATCACATTTCCCTCTACTGTGCCATAACTGCTTGGCAAAGTTTTCACACATACTGTTGCTCTCAAAGCAACCCCTCAGTCTCACACAGAAGCAAGATTCATAGGCTCTGCTGGGAATCGAGTTAAACCCTCTTTGAAGGATTTGGTGGAGGAATAAAAGAAAAATGAAGGGGAACCAGAGAGATTTCCTCCCTTTGCAAAAGAAAGATACAAAAATTTAATACAGAAAAATACGAAAGTACAGGCTTTTTATCATATACTGGTATTTGTGAAAAGCTATTGATAATAATAGTGATCTCCTTTGTAAAGCACTTTGAGCTCTACTAATGAAAAGCACTATAGGTATAAATAGTTATTACTATTATTCTTACCTGTGTGATTAACAATACATAACTATTTTAGATTGGTGGGAAAATGCATATACTTTTCACCATTTATGTTGTTAATTTTTTAAAAAAAGAATTTAATTTTTTTTGCAATTCTCTCACTTGGGAGACCCTAAGTCGATTAGTCCATTTCACTTTTCATGTTTCTTGTCAGTGCCACTTTCTGATTCCCACGCAGTAGCACACTGCTGCACATTTGGCTTGCAAACATGCAGGGGGACACAGTTTATTTAAATCCAAACAAAACACTGCTTTAACTGTTTTTTTTTTTTTTTTAAATTTGCTAATCCCATTTCTGTTAATTGTTAAAATATTTTTATTTTAAAAAAACAACAACCAAAAAGGCTGCTTGGCAGTGTCTCAGATGTCAGGTTTTTGCCACAGTGACCTAAGATACCATACATATGGCGATAGCAAGAAACATTTAAACACGGATCTACAATTTTAGGGTCAGATTCATCCCTGTCTCATGCAGTGGCAGAAGAGAAGTTATTCTTGCTGCTCCTATTTTGCTGTTGCTAGAGGCTAAGACATAGGCTAGGGCAGCTATAGAGATCCCCTAAATTGCTCCTGCCTGTCATAGCCCCAGGGGGTTGCAGCAGACGGGAATCACAGTCATAGGTGCTGACTCCATGGGTGCTCCCGGGGGTGGGATGGAGTGGGGGTGGGGCCTGGGGCGGAGCAGGGGTCGAGCACTCCCCCTCCCCCGGGGAACTGAGGAACTCGGTGCCTATGATCACAGTGGAGTAGTACTGCCTTCTCCCGTACCGGATCTGCCCTCTCCCAATTCTGGTCAGCTCCTGATCTGTCCCACTCTGGATCTTTCCTATGCCATAACTTCCACCAGGCAGCCAGTTGTCCTGGGGGGGCAGTCCCTGCTATATTAAGAGGATTTCACTGGGGAACCCAGGAGACGTTTTGTGATAGCTATGCTGACACAAACTGGTGACATTTTAGTGGTTCATTTTCCCTCCGAATCTTTATCCTTCAAGGCTTCTGCACACACAAATGCCACCGAAGTCGATAAGAACTGTGAGCACAGTGGGCTTGCAGAATCTGGCCCACAACTTTGAACCCATTTGATTTTTCTAGGTTCAGGTCAGACCTTTAACGTTATTATTTGTGCCTGTTTTGATCAGCTTATGTATCAAGATACCACTGAAGTAATTAGTGGCCAGGCTAACTTGTCATGGCTACTCTAATGGCAAGATAGCATCCTACAATACAAAGAGTAATGTGTTCAGCAGCAATTAAAAGAAACCACTACTTACTGACAGAGGAGCAGCACTCCCTGGTCCATGGTTGCTAGGGACATGTCTGAAACCTCTTTGAAGGGGGATCCCCGGAGACACTGGTGCTCCTCTGCAGCTGGGCTGATTGATGGCAAAACCCATGGGGAATGGGTGGTATGAGTACATACCAGAGTACCCAGGATACAGTTTTGGAGGTTCTCTCTCCAGGTATTCTGGGCTGACAACACATTCTTGAGGCAAAGCAGGATGGGCTATGAAACAAGCAGCGAGGAAAAATAAAAACAAGCAAAAATATCACTGCAAACAGTTTGAAGGTAAATAGAAATAGAGAGTCATGGTGCCAAAATCTGTCCTCAGCCAGTGCAACGGAAGGCAGAATCTGACCCTTTGGTTTTACATTCACTTCTTATTCAATTTCTTTTTTTTTAAATTAGAAAATTAGGATTGGGGAGGAAAGAAGGGAGCTCAACAGTGATGGAAGACAGGTTAATACAGCTTTGGGAGAGCAAAGTCTGCCTTCTGCATCCTGAACCAAGTTGTCAGCAAACTACTGATTGCAGAATCTCTAATACTTCTGCTGCCGTAACAGGTATGACAAACAGCTTGCTTTCTAGTTTCCTGTGGCAACAGTTAGAAAATAATCACCTTTTAGACTTGTAAATCAAGTATTAAAATTTAATACTGAAATCAATGAGAGGGAATAAAGAGCTCTGTACCCTGTGATAGCTGTCATTTCTACAGAGTTGTTTGCAGTTGGTCCCAGGATATGAGAAAGACAAGGTAGGTGAGGTAATATCTTTTATTGGACCAACTTCTGTAGGTGGAAGGGACAAGTTTTTGAGCTTCACAGAGCTCTTTCTTGACCTCGGGTCACCTGCAGAGCTGTGAGGCTTGAAGCTCCACCAACAGAAGTTGCTCCAATAAAAGATATTTACCTCACCCACCTGGTTTCATTTCTACAGAGTTAATTTTCAAAGAACCACTGTATTTTGCTATTAAAAAAAATCTTGTTCACAAAGTGATATTCCAAAGTAGTGGAATCCCCATCATCTATGACTAGACTATATCTGTGTCTCAAGGCCTCATCCATTCAAATCCCTCCTGAAAGCCCACTTCTCCTGTGAGGCCCATACACATAAAAAATAATCGTTGGTAGATGAGGCAGGGCTGGAACTATCTAAAGCGATTCCTTCCTCCCCATCTCCCAGAGCATCTGGTGTTTCTTGCCTTGTCTCCTAGACTGTTAGCTCTCCAGGGTCCCAGTCGAATGACTACTGTGGTCAGTGGGAGTCTTAATAAATAATAATAATGGATTAGACAAGGCACACACTACATACTCTACTGTGTATAGAACAATGTCAGAAGTGATGGACTAAATGATCATAGGAATTTTCCATCTCTACATTCTGTTTTCTGTTCTTAAATACAAAATAAACTTTTACATCAACTGATTCCAGCCAAATGTAGTCTGTGCTACATAAATCCAGCCCAGGAGCTTTCCTTATCTTTTTTTATGTTGCCACCATAAAATGCCTGCTCTAAACAACTCCAGCAGAAACTCCCCAATTTATCTGTACTTTCTGTTTTTCTGTGTTTTTTTTTCTTTTTCTTTTGCTGGAGGGAATGTTTGTAAATGTAAAAATAATAACAGCTCAGAAGAAAGTGCTCAGGGTGCTCTACTGAATAATCAGGATCTTGTCACAGACTCATTTCCCTCTTAAACAAGGACTAGTAGCACGAATCTATCTTTGCAACAAGGAAACAAGCTGAGGAGCTGCCTACAGTGGTTCCTACAGCTACAAAGTCCATGAGCACAGCTTGGAAACTTTGCAAAACCAACAATAAGTGCAGCACTGCATACAAAACACACTTGCCTGAAAACATGTCCCCGGAACGGGGAAATAGAGTGAGAGCAGCTTCAACAGCCCTGGGGAACAGGACACCTGGGACCTAAAGATTTCTGAGGCACTAGACAGGCATGGACGATGGATGGACAGACACTGACCCAACAGTACCCACTGATAGATGGACAGACACTGAATGATGGACACAGACAGACAGATGGACACAGAGATAGAAGTTAATCATCTTGAGTGGAGGCCTAAGGAACAGACACCCCAATGCTGAGCTGGTCCCTACCAAAGTCCCCGAAGAGTGGGGAGCTGGGGGCAGGTAGTGCCCTGCGGGTCCTGGTTCTGCTGCTTGCTGCTGGGGTGGTCTTGGCTCCTTCACACCCGGCCACGTGGCTGCTGTGTTCAGAGGTGCTGGGGCCAACCGCAGGAACCTTCCGACCTTTCCCATGAACCGGGGTGCAGGCCACAGGCGGAGACGTCTCTCTGGGTGGGGCATCTGGGTCCTGCCCCTGCATCGCCTTCTGAGCCGCCATGATCTTCTGGCGCTCTGTGATGAGCGCACACTTGTCGCAGGGGCAGAGCTTCCAGCGGCAGTGGCCCGTATGGCCCTTGACTGGCACCACAAAGCCATGGTTCCGGCAGCGGGAGCACTTGGGGGTGCGCAGAGCTGCCTTCTCTGCCATCGCTGCCGCCTCGGCCTCCATGGCACCCCCAGCCAGGCAGGCGCCTAAAGCTCCATGTGCAGCAGAACTTGAAGAAGCTCAGCACAGGGGCAGGGCGGGGCAGAGTCTTGGTGTGCCCACAACCACTAGCTACAATGTCGCAACTGAGCCTGCTGGCCTTTCTTCAAGGAGGAGCAGTTCAGCTCTGCTCCCAGTAAGAGGTAGTGTGCATAGATCTCAGTGCTGCTGGGACAGCAGCAGGTGAGGGAAGAGCAATGCTCCAAGGATCTGGGCAAGAACAGTTCTGCACTTTCCGGCAGCTGGCATCTCCAGCACTGTGGGGCCCAGAGCTACTCTGAGATAGAGCCCTCCATTCCAGCAGGGCTAAGTGGGCAGATCTCCTGCTGGGGATGGAAGTAAGCACTGTGCTGGGGTTGTGAGTGCAGCATGTTGACTTTCGTCCCTTTTCCATGCACTTGCAGGTCCAAGATGTGACAGTGAATCAGTGTGGTTTTGAAAAGAAGACATACAGGGCCAAGTTTGCAAAACCATGACTCCAGATTCTGCACAAGCAACCGTTTGTGGGCACATCCCTTGCATTTGCATGTGCAGATTGGAGAGTAACACACCTGATTTACACATGCAAAAGCAGTGGTTGCAAAAGGGTATTTTTGGCCATAAAAGTGGAATTTACTTGGGGTCCTTTTAGGGTTGCCAATATTGGTAGGACATATTCTTGGTGGTTTTCGTCACATGACACAATCTTTAATTAAAAATGAATCTTTAATTCCTGGAGACTCCAGGACAGTCCTGGGGGGTTGGCAACTCTGGGTCCTTTCTGCCTTTCATTTAAAAGGCAATCTTCCCTTTTTGATACCCACAGTTACCGTCATATTTTGCATGCATCTTATTATACTGGAATCATTATTTCAGTTCCTTTTTGCAAACTCAAATGTATTTTTCTTGAACAGGAGAGAGAGTCTCACTCCTTCAGTAGAAAAAATACTGATTTCCCATTCTGTTTTTTACAATGTTCATCTAATCCAGCGTATCATGACGAGGGCAGAAAGCATGTCTAATTCCTCCAGCCATCTATCTCTCTTTGTAATAATGCTCTAGTTTCAATATTGCTTGTAAAACTACCCGTGTTGTTACTGTTCCACTGGGTTAGCACTAGTATACAGTAGCCCATTTTCAGGGCAAAGCTAAACCCCAGGCAATGGAAGGGAGAATACAGCAAATCTTTTTCAGATGAGAAGAGTTAACCTTGTGACCTTGTGGTGAGTCAGTGGCCTCTACATTTCCTTCATTAAAAGAAAAAACTGTTTAAAGTAAAGCAACAGTTAACCATAAAATAGTCCTTCATTTACGCATCAGCTTCAAGAGCATTGTCACAAGGTGAAGTATGTATTCTTGCTGCTTTGTGAGAGTTTTAATAAGCAATAGAATATGTTTCAAAATGACACAGATCCTTCCTTGCAGGGCTTGTATGCACCTCCCACCCCCTCTGGGTGGAAATCGTAACAAAAGCTGTTGACTTTGAAACTAGTCTCCTGTCAGACACTTAGGAGCTTTTGAAAATGTCATTCTAAATGACTTTCATGTGTGAGTTCCACTGGGTCTTCCGACTTAGCTTAGGGAAAATTTTCAAGAGTGCTCAAATGACTTAGACGCCTAAGTCCCATTGAAATCTGAGAGTTAGGTGCCTAACTTGCTTAGGCACTTTTGAAAAGACAGCTATTGAAACCTTTAGGTGCCCAACTAGCTTTGAAAATCTGGCCTCAAAAAGTATGTCTACACTGCAATAAAACATAGGTTTGTCAGGCATCCAGTTTTTGACCGGAACGCCCGATCAGAAAGGGACCCTGTCGGAACTGGTCCGCACTGCTGACTGGGCCTTTAAAAGTCTGGTTGGCCGCCTGCAGCAGGGCAGGCAGGGTGCCTGCCCGCCTCTGCGTGGCTCCCAGGAAGCTGTCAGCATCTCCCGCTGGCTCCTAGGTAGAGGGGAGGCCAGGGGGGCGCTGTCCCCGCCCCGAGCTCCAGCTGCGCAGCTCCTATTGGCCGGGAACCCCAGCCAGTGGGAGCTGCGGGGGCACCACCTGCAGGCAGGGACAGCACACAGAGCCACCTGGCTGTGCCTCCACCTAGGAGCCAGAGGGAGATGTCACTGCTTCTGGAGCCGCCTGAGGTAAGCACTGCCTGCACCCTGTGCCCCATCCTGCACCCAAACTCCCTTCCAGACTCTGCACCCCCTCCAACATCCCAACCCCCTCCCACAGCCCCCTCCCACACCCTGAACTCCTAATTTCTGGCCTTACCCTGGAGTTCGCACCCCCAGCCCAGAGCCCATACCCTCTTCCACACTCCAACCCTGTGCCCCAGCCTGGAGCCCCCTGCCACACTCCAAACCCCTCAGCCCAGAGGCCCTTCCTGCACTGCAAGCCCCTCATCTCCAGCCCCACCCCAGAGCTCGCACCCCACCACCAGAGGCAACACCTCCTCTCGCACCCCAACATCTTGCCCCAGTCCTGTGAAAGTGGGCGAGGATGGGGGAGAGCGAGTGACAGAGGGAGGGGGGATGGAGTGAGCAGGAGGCAGTGGCCTCGGAGAAGGGGCGGGACAAGGGTGTTTGGTTTTCTGCAAATAGAAAGTTGGCAACCCTAATAAAATACCCACGTCTAGCCCATGTCAGTTGACACAGGCTCACAGGGCTCAGGCTTCAGAGTTATAAAATTGCAGTGTAGACATTTGGGCTTGGGTTGGAGCTCAGGGTCTGGGACCTCATGAGAGGGGAAGGTCTCAGAGCCAGGCTCCAGCCCGAGCCCAAATGTCCACACTGCAATTGTATAGCCCTGCAACCCAAGCTCCACAAGCCTGTGTTAGCTGATACAGGCCAGCCATAGGTGTTTTATTGCAGTGTAGAAATACCCAAAGTCACTTTGTCTACACTGCAGCCATAAGCCCTGGGTTAGTAGAACTTGCATTAGCAGACCCTGGTTTTGTTAACCTAGGGCTTAAGTGTCTACACTCACTTGTAAACCCAGGTTAGGGATTGTTGAACCCTAGGACCCAACCTGGGGCTCCAGCACCTACACTGCATTATGAGGGCCCGAGTCCAACCACCAATATCCCAGACTTCCTAGCACCTTCCCAAAATGTGGCTACTCTGTGTGGGAAAATTTAATAGTTCACCAAAGTTAACTATCTAGAGGGCAAAGAAAGTTGGCCTGTGGGATGCTTTTGGTGGACTCCCAGAGCACAATTTCAGGGGGGCTGCAACTACACTGCAAAGTGACAGGGCTTGAATCCTGGGTTCTAGCTTGACTCAGGCCCGGACCCTCCACCTCTGTGGGGTCCTGCGACCCTGGGTCCAAGTCTTGGGTTAGCACGATTTGTGTTTAGACCGAAGAGGGGTTAGGCTTGAGCTTGAGTTCAAACCCTGGGCTATCAGCAGTGCAGACATAGCCTTAGACATTTTTGAAATTTTTACCCTTAGGTCCCAGTTCGGGCGAGAACTGAAGCACACGGTTAACTTGACTTCAATAGGATGTAAGCACATGCGCAAGTGATGTCCTGAAGTACTGTTTTCCTGAATCAGGGCCTTAGAAAGATGGAGGATATTTCTTTAATTATTCTTAACATTAATTCTACTCTATAGCAGTTTTTTGGCAGATTCCATATCATCCATCTCAGTGTTGTTGCCGTATGTTGTGTACATATGCAGATTTACCTGTAAATTTAAAAAAAAAAAGTATGTATCTTGCCTTAGATACATAATACATCCAAATTCATTGGGATACTAAAAAAGTAGAGGATATTGGTGGGTTATGTACATTTGCTATGATAAATGTTCTCTCAGTCACATAATATTAATATTCAGGATATTTAATCAAGCATATTTATTTATTTCTCTTATCCCTCAAGACAAGCTGTGGACATTAATAGTTTCTACATAAATAAAACCAGACTTTCGAAAGCTTTGAACATTTTTCATTTAAGTATAGAAGAGTTATTATACATTCCATATAATTTGTTTCAAACATGGCAAGACTCTGTAAAGGGGTGAGTTTTTTATTTTCCTTGTGAGATGAATATTCACTTCTGCAGACAATTTGAGGAATCCTGCTATTCCCAATCTGCTATAATTTTATATATACATTTTAATTAGATACCCTATCACACAGAATTAACAAAACTACCAGACAGAGAAGATACACACCCAATTTGTCACAAATTTGAATATAATGCAGAAATCCATGTGAAAAAGTTGAGCTGGATTTGGCATAAAGACTATTATATGTTTGTTGGAAAAACAGTAAAGCACAATAAAAAAATCCTGTTTTCCCCAGAAGTGGCTTTTAGATTTACTTCGATATGTGGAGTAAAATATATAGGAACCATAGTACACAGTATATACAGTTAGCATTTTGTAGTAATATAGAGTTTGCTAGAATGATTATTTTGCCAAAAATAAAGAGGAGGCAATCTAGAAGTTTCACAGTATTGAAATCAATAGCAATAATGTCTGTATTTCCCTCTGACTTCTGTACTGTGTAGAGTATAAAGCATGGTTTTGGTACACAGATAATTCTGTATGGAGATCTATGGGCAAAACACAAAGAACAAAAACAATGCTCTTGCCAAAAGAAAGGAACAAATCAGGAAGTTGGTTATCATCAAATTAAATGGCAAAAACAGTGGGTTTTTTGCCCTCTCTGACTTTCCTGCTAATATTATATGATGTAAGTGTATTTTTGGCATGCAAGTTGTTGTGCTTAGCTTTGGGATTTCTGAAGTCTGCAGCACTTCTCAGAGCTATAATAATGTTATAACAAGATGTATTTAGCAGATGAACATTTGTAGCACATTGCCTTTTTTCTTTAAAAACTGTTTTGGTAATATTACTAACATGCAAAAAAACCAAGTGAAAGCAACTCATTCTTGCACAACCCTTGGTTCTATACTGAAAACATTCGCAGACTCGTTTCGCTGTAAATGAGCACATTTTTCTATTAAGGCCAATTAAGTATACCTTTTAAATA